TGTGAAGATGTCTCTTGCTGGTGTTCTGAGCAGTCAAACGTTTGACAGCCGTTGAGGTGAGAGTGTCACTGAATGAACTCGCGTGACAGGCGTTCTGGAGATGATCACAGATCGCGTACCAACAGACACACAGACGCCACTCACGCGAGAAGCAACCACCGATCCCAGCCGCCACTCGCGACCGACTGTCTGTCGAGGACGCACTACGCGCGCGATCTCCGGCTCAGCTGTCAGCGAGGCAAACTTGTCGGTTTGATCAATGGCAAGCGATGACCCTCCCACGCCAGCTCGCAGCGAGGCTTATCTGAGTGTGCAGCTTGTCCGAGCCCACTATCGGGGGATGGGGGTCCGCCGCTGCGCTCTTTGATGTGCCCAAGGCAAACACGATGACGGCGGTGGTGGTGGTGGGATGTCGTCGGGTGGGGCGTTGCGCGCTGATAGGTACAAGTTTCTCTCTTACGTTCACGATAATTACGATTTCAACGCACGGCCGCTTCATCGTTATTCGGCGCAGCGGCGTACTGATGACGTCAGCGTCATTGTGAGACGTCTGCGTCTGCGTCTCTCACACCCAGCGACGATGACTCATGCAGGCGCACCGGGGGAGCGGGAGTCCGGACCCCGCGCGAGAAGTTCCCACGAGTCGCTCTTCATTCATCGCTGGTTGCGAGCGAGCGACCGCGGCTAAACCCCCGTGATTCATTCACGCACGCCGCCATCATGCTTGCATGCATGCTCCGTCGCGGCTCTCTGCCCCCGCGTTTTCTCTCTCCGCCTTCTCCCCGCACGGCGGCGGCGGCGGCGGCCCCGCATCTTGCAGTGCCCGCGGCAGAACGGATTATCATTCGTCAGAACGCGTCAACAGCGAAAGAAAGTCCAAGGTAAACACGGCAGCGACGCGCACACCGCGGGGACTACTCCTCTCGCGCGAGAGTTAAACGTATGCACTGCGCCAGCCCGAGTCGGCCAAGCACGCGCGCGCGCCGACATCTGTTGTCCAGCGGCGGCCGACCGTCGCCGTGGCGGTCATCGTCGCTTCACCGCTGGCCAGCAAGGGGCTTCCGTTCGTCGCTGATCGAGTGGCGATGCGAATCCGTCGTTATTTGCGCTCAGGATTACGGAATTGGTTGCGGAGAGGCGAACGTCACCTGCAACGCAGACGCCCTTGCGTACAGCCTGTATATATATATATATATATATATATATATATATATATATATATATATATATATACGTGGAGGAGAGGTGGGAGATGAATAAGAGCGAAATAACGATCTTGGCCGCTAATGCGCCCCAGTAATGTCGTGTCACATCCCGACTGTACGCGAACCTACACACAGACAACACGCATACGCACGCACGCATAGAGTGAGAGAGAGAGAGAAAGAGCGAGAGCGAGAAAGGGAGGGCGAGAGGGAGAGAGAGAGGGGGAGGGGGAGAAAGAGAGACAGAGAGAGAGCAAGAGAGAGAGAGAGCGCGAGAGAGGGCGAGACAGAGAGAGAGAGAGAGAGAGAGCGAGAGAGAGAGAAAGAAAGAAAGAGGAAGAAAAAGAGAAAGCGAGAGAAAGCAAGCGACAGACAGATAGACACTCGGGCGCACGCACACACACACACATGACCATCATCGCATGATCGCTTCACCCTATCAAGCATATATTCTAACGAACAGAAAACAGAAAATCAACGACCAGAGCAATACAATCACCGAAACGTTCTAAAGAAAACACCACTACACCCAATTCCCGTAACGTAATGGACTCGTTAATTCCCATGCATACGGCGTACGCGACAGAACAACGCGCTTCTATAAGCTCGCCAACCGCTTATCGTCTGCACATCTACGAGCTTGTTTCTCTACGCCCGTCACTCTATTAGTATGCATCTGCGTGCGAGATACAACGCTCTGAACGTATCACCATTCTCTGGTCGCAAACATTTAATGTCTACTCATCTACACGTCAACGGCAGCTGCTGCATCCTCGACCTGCTTCCACGCGCAGCGACTATTCAGCGACTAACTGCGCGTCTTCAACGTTTCATTTATCCCCATTTTGATAGGTATTGTTGTTTCGCGTACACGAGCGACCTTGCGCAGCTTATCCAACTACCCGTTCGCATTCTTCCCGGGGTGCGCAGTGTGTATCCTTTATGCGCGTGGGCGGGAGCATGTAACGTAATTGCGATGACCCGATGAAATTTCTATGCGGGTTTTGTGGTCTCGCTATCATGTGTACGCGGTCAATTTTGACAGCGATATAGAAGTCGCTAAATTCTGCTGACAATTAAACTATGCCGCCGCGGGCAACACGATGCAGGTGTGAGAGAGCCGCCAGGGATGTCGGAAATCGGGATGGAGATGATAAAAAAATGATTTTTCTGTGGTCGAATTACTGTGTGTATACGTCAGCTCCCGCTAGTGTGTTTGTGCTCATATGGATGAAGCCAACTTCAGCAAACTAATTAAAGGTGTTGCGAGTACTGGCGTTGCAATGAGTATGGTGAGAGAGAGGGGGATATAGAGAATGAGAGAGAGGGGGAGAGAAAGAGAGAGAGAGAGAGAGAGAAAGAAAGAAAGACACACACACATATACAGAGAGGAGGAGAGAGAGGTGAGTGATAGAGAGAAAGAGAGGGAGCGTGTGTGTGTGGGAGAGAGAGAGAGAGAGACAGAGAAAGAGAGAGCGAAATAGAGCAAAAATTCTGGCAGGCGAAGAGAGATAAAAGAGAAACGAAAGAGAGGTGTGTGAGCGCATGGAAAGACACTAATAGAAGTGGGGACACATAGACAGAGATAGAGAGAGAGAGAGAGAGAGAGAGAGAGAGAGAGAGAAAGAAAGAGAGCAGAGGAGGGGATGGGCATCGGCTGATCTGTACAGAATGCCGGTTCGCTGAGGTTACTCTACGACAGAAGCGACGACTTCTGTATCGTCCCGACCTTCTCGACGACATGCTGCCACCTAGTGGCCGCGTTTAGCAACATCGGCGAGGAGATGTTCTGCTTCTACTTTCTTCTTCTTCTTCTTGTTCTTCTTCTTCTCCTCCTTCCTTTTCTTCTTTTTCTTCTTCTTCTTTTTCGTCTTCTTTATCCACTGCATAATATTATCACATTTTATATAACATGTAAGATGACATTTATAACTAGATACAATAATATAATCCATCCTACTCTTGTGTTAGGTTATATTATTGTATCTATATGGTAACACGTACCATTATATAACCTAACATCGTGTGACCATAGGTAATATATGGAGACAGCGGATGGAAATGATATTATATTGTGATAATATACTATGAAACATAACATCAGGTGTGTATAGTATAGATATAGTCTATTACCTATCTATTAGCCTAGGGCGCTCTCCTAATTATAAACACAGGTCTACTGATAACAATTTATTACAGATATTTATGCTGAGATCCCCCCTAACCATATTACATGCATATTCATTACAAAATATAACTCATCTGGTGAGATATTGCGCATGAGCTAATACACTAACGTAGCCAGATTGTGTACTGACTGGCATATATGCAGCTGGCAATTTACATGCAAGGTCTCCTTCCTATTTCTTAAAATAGGTCTACTGATGGAATTTTATCATTTATATCTATGCTAAAATACCCCCACTCCACTTTAAATGCATAATTTTTCCAAAATATTCTTCTTCTCGGGAGATATTGCGCATGCGCGAGCACCGTATCAGGCGTACAGTGCTGACTGGAGACAACTGCATAATATAGCTTGCTGAGTGAGAGAGGGGTGGGAGACTGAGGAAAGGCAGCAGGAAAGATAGCTGAGGGCAGTAGAAGAAAAAGGAGACCGAGCAGGGGACAAGTGAGGCAAGGTGAAGGACGGGAAGGGGGTAAAGTAAGAGTTTTGCACCCTGCAGGCTAGGGCGCTCTCCTAATTATGAACACAGGTCTACTGCTAACAATTTATTACAGATATCTATGCTGAGATACCCCCTAACCATATTAAATGCATATTCATTACAAAATATAACTCCTCTGGGGAGATATTGCGCATGCGCTAACACACTAACGTAGCCAGATTGTGTACTGACTGGCATATGCAGCTGGCACCTTACATGCAAGGTCTTCTTTCTAGTTCTTACGAGCGGTCAACTAATGAGATTTTATCATTTCTATTTATGCTAGACTACCTCCTCTCCATTTTAAATGCATAATTTTTCCAAAATATTCTTTTTCTGGAGAGATATTGCGCATGCGCTATCACACTAACGTAGCCAGATTGTGTACTGACTGGCATATGCAGCTGGCACCTTACATGCAAAGTCTTCTTCCTAGTTCTTAAGAGCGGTCTACTGATGGAATGTTATCATTTATATTTATGCTAGACTACCTCTTCTCCATTTTAAATGCATAATTTTATCAAAATATTCTTCTTCTCGGGAGATATTGCGCATGCGCGAGCACCGTTTCAGGCGTACAGTGCTAACTGAAGACAACTGCATAATATAGCTTGCTGAGTGAGAAAGGGGTGGGAGACTGAGGAAGGGCGACAGGGAAGGTATCTGAGGGCGGTAGAAAAAAAAGAGACCGAGCAGGGGACAAGTGAGGCAAGGTGAAGGACGGGAAGGGGGTAAAGTAAGAGTTTTGCACCCTGCAGGCTAGGGTGCTCTCCTAATTATGAACACAGGTCTACTGCTAACAATACAGATATCTATGCTGTGATACCCCCTAACCATATTAAATGCATATTTATTACAAAATATAACTCCTCTGGGGAGATATTGCGCATGCGCTATCACACTAACGTAGCCAGATTGTGTACTGACTGACATATGCAGCTGGCACCTTACATCCAAAGTCTTCTTCCTAGTTCTGAAGAGCGGGCTACTGATGGAATGTTATCATTTATATTTATGCTAGACTACCTCCTCTCCATTTTAAATGCATAATAAATTTTATCAAAATATTATTCTTCTCGGGAGATATTGCGCATGCGCGAGCACCGTTTCAGGCGTACAGTGCTAA